TCTGTCTGTCTGTCTGTCTGCCTGCCTGCCTGCCTGCCTGCCTGTCTGTCTGTCTATCTATCTATCTATCTATCTATCTGTCTGTCTGTCTGTCTGTGTCTGTCTGTCTATCCTACCCCTTCTTGTTATATTCCATTCAAGCTCTTTTCAAGCCTAGAGTATATTGAGTCTCTTTTGTGAAAATGTCTGTGTTGGACTGGGGGCTGTTTATAGTTAAAAGGAAACTCCCAATGAGCATAAACAGTCAAATATCCTGTCAAGTCTTCAGACAAACTGTACACTTCTCCCTCAAGTTCCCAGAGGATGACACTGCAAAATCTTCAGTTCTCAAAACAGAGCGTTCCAATCAGACCACTGGCCACTGCAGGCCACCGCGACACTCCAGAACCCGGAGCTTTGAAAAGCTTTGATTTTCCAGGCATCCATTACCTCAAAAGCATGGCACTGCAGCAAAACAATCAATACGTACAGCAAACTGCTAACCCCGTGAATCAGAGCACTGATTATCCCAGCCTTTGAGGCCAAAGCCAAAACTCTCACCTCACCTGGTGACCTGCAGCTAATCCACTGTCCAATACACACAATCTGTTTGTCTATCCATACGCATTTCTTGTTTCTTTGAACATGAAAGGAGAAATCCTGAAGAATGTTCAAGTTGCTATTTCTGCAGAATGAAAGTAGACTGTGATTTTTATTATGAAGCACCAAAAAGACCCTCTATCTGTACTGTAACTGCAGTCCCAAAAAAAGTCAGGAACTGACTGTACAATAAGCAAATCAATTGCACCCAAGACTACTTAAATTCACTCTACCAGTCAAACACCTGAGGTTGAATGGCAGGGTTTTATGTTTTGCCACTTTTGCAGACTGAAACATATTTCTTCCTCCTTTAAAAGGCTGTATTTCACTGGCTGAGGTACAATGCGGCATGAGTCTCTCACTCTTTGCCTGCGGGCTCTGAATATCAGGCTGTAGCCATGACCATTGACAGCTCTTGGGAACGAGCATTTCTTATTACTAACCTTTAAACTGCGACACTAAAATTGAGCCACTTTTCTTTCAGGACCCATAAGGGGCTGAAATGAAAATCTATGAAAACTCTGTTACCTGGAAGCGAATTTGTGTTCATTGCATTTCTGAATTATGTTTAAATTCAAATTGCATTAACATGTTGACACAAGTGTGTAAGAAGTAACTTTTTCAATAATGCACATAAAGAGAGAAATCAATATCACAAATTTTCTCGACAAAGGTTTTTTTTTAGGAATTTTCCTGAAAGTATTATATAATATCATTTTTTTATAGATTTAGTGATGTTGAAGCCACTGTCTGTCATCTAGACTAGTGATCGACCGATATTGATTTTTTTATAACCGATACCGATACCAAATTATTTGCATGTTTATGTGCCCGATGCCCAGCACTAGCTCAGACTGACTTAGATCTGTCAAGAAACCAAAGTTTGCAAATAGAAGTCAAACAAAAGATCAGATTTCAGTATGAACTTTCTCATTCAATTTTTTCAAGACCAAATGATCTGAACAGTCCACATTGAATTTATAGCTCTATTCTATTACAGTATGTCAAAAATTGTTTCTTTTGTTTCTATTTTATGCCTCAGAACTTTACTGAGAAAAGTCTCTTGAGCTATTAAAAAAGCAACCCCGAAGCAATAACATTTCCAATAGGAGATAAAGCTAGTCTCAAAGTAAACTGATTCGAGAATAAATGAATCATACAAAAGGTGACTTGCAAAATGTTTGAAGCCTAGGGGGACCATCAACATCTACAAGATCTTGCTTCATCTAATTCTTCTCACAGTATTCCTGATAAAGGAAGATTACTCATGGAAAAAGTGAATGAACTCTCGATCAATACTGGAGGGCCGATGTGCCACGGCTAATATCACATGGTCAGTCCGGTAATCTGAGCGAGCCAGCACATTCAGGCCAGGGTGCCGATGTACAGCTTTCATCAAAGCAATCGATGATACACCCATATGAATCAAGCCCTTGTCCTGAAATGGGCACACAACAATCCCATTAACTGCATTTGCAGAACTAAGGTAACAGTATAAAACCTCTAACTTTGAAGAAGCTTTAGTTCTCTTAAAGTCTACCTGATTATGAATATATGCTAATCAAACATGCATTACTGCTCTGTAGGCTGGAATACAGTTACATGATGACCCTAGATGTGCCCTGGAAATCTGTGTTGAAAGTCTCTTGGTTACAGTTAAGTATTCAGAATTATTCTGGTTCCTAAAGACTGCCAGCAGCACAAGTTACATACTGAGCAAAAAACACAGAGACAGGAGAATATGTCTTATAGTATACAAGACGTACCGAACTAAGAGTGGGTGGCAAATGTTGATATACTGTATCTCTTGGCACTTTCCATGAAGAGGTTAAACAAAAGGGCTTGAAATTTTATTTCAATGGTCATGTCTAACCTTTGGAAAATGTTTTCTATCCACCATAGGAGGTCAAATGAAGTATTTGTGCATTTTATTATTTTTGTCAACATGGCAATACAGTTTAATGGATCGACCCTAACTCCATTGTTTTGTTTTTTAGAAACAAACATGCTAATTAAATAAGTTGTTTCAGAAAATATGAAAATTGTACTTTTAAAACATAATTTGAAAAGGAATAAATGGTAACAGTAATTTTTAATTAATAATTAAAATTATTAATTAAAAATTACTTTTAATTAATTTTTATTTTTACATAAATTGAGCTGTCACTCTGTAGGACAAGATAGTTTAGGACCAAAAAATGGTTTTAAGTTATTAGTAACTTACATTTTCAATAAACTGGAGAAAAATATTATATTACAAAAAAGTGCCTTTTATAGTATTTACAAGATTTTCCATAAAGACCCGTTTAAAAAAGTGCTTCCAAAGACATCAGCTTAAAAGTTTCACTATACTTCCGGAGAATGACTTACCTTCACATTTCTCCAGGATCTGAACTGTTTCTCCAAGCTCTAGAGTCAGACCATGTGACACTGATCCGCGGAAACCACAGACCACTGAGAAAAGAAAAAAGAGAAGAGAAAAACGAGTTAGATGCTTATAGAAAACGTTCAGAGACAATTCATTGTAAATAAAACCACAAAACAATTTGATGTTAAAAGCGAAGTAATTTCTGCACAACTACTCTCCTGAACAGAATTCACAAACACTCCCCCTGTCTGCCACTGGTCAGAAAGCCCCGCCCCCAACTCATGCTATTGGTTGAGTCAGGCTGGTCATAATACTAAAAAAAAACAGAGCAATGTGTTTATAGCGCTACTATGGAAGCCTGTTTCCACCACTGAATAAAAAATTAAAAAGGTAACTGCGACTTTTTACCTCACAATTCCGACTTTTTTCTCGCAATTGTGAGTTAACATTTTGCAATTCAGAAATGCGAGATATACACTCGCAATTGCGAGTTATAAAGTCAGAATCATGGGTCATAAACTCGAAATTGCGAGAAATAAAGATATAAACTCGCAATTCTGACTTTTTTCTTGCAATTCTGACTTTTCTCTCACAATTGTGTGATATAAACTCGAAACTGCGAGAAATAAAGGCATAATTATACACTCACAGAGTTACTATCCCATAATTCTGACGTTTTGTCTTGCAATTCTGACTTCTTTGCTCAGAAGTAAGTAGTTTCGAATTATATAGTCCAATTCTGCGGGGGAAAATCACTGACTATTTTCTTACAATTGCGAGTTTATATCTCACAATTCTGACTTGCAATTGTGATAAAAACTCACAATTGCGAGAAAAAAAGTCAGAATTGTGAAATAAAAAGTCACAGTTATCTTTTTATTATTTTTTTTTTATTATTCTGTGGTGGAAACAAGCATCCATACGCCTCAGAGACACAATATTTAAACTTTTTTTTTGTTGAGGAAATCCACCTACAAATGGCTTACAAGGTGACCTTCCATATTAAGCAATATATTACATTATATAATACAAAGCAAGTACAATATTACAAAATATAACATTGGGGAACACTACACAATTAAAACACATCACTAAATTCAACAGAACAGAGATGAATAATTGTTGGCTTTCCATAGCAGTGAGCTCTTTATGTTCTCCATACATTTATTTTTCAAATGGTGAGATTTGGTTCAGTTATAGATTCACTGGATACTGGAATTTACGCTGTTGTTCAGGGATAAGCCAAAGATAAAGACAAAGCTACTATCATATTCAGGTCATCTGTAGCCCATGCTTTTGCCGCTGGGTTCAGTAGAACAAAATGTGTTTTTTTGCTTGTTTTTTTTGGGCCACATTGTTTTCTTCCCTGGTAACTGCATTTTCTATCAAAATATAGTTACTATAGTGTTGTTATTACTCCAGACACACTGTGATAACTTAGTATCAGCCACCACTGTAGGGTTGTAAAAACAAAATACAGACATTTTAAAAGTTTTAATTGAAATTTCACTAAAATTATTATGCTGATAACATAATTTATACTTTTTTATTTATTTATTTAGGTTATATCTAATAATGATTCAGTAGCACAGTATATGGTACCATGGTGCCTCTCTATACAGTGCAGATGGGTTGAGCAGCGCAGTGGAAATAATAGGGTTTATTTTCAATGAATGCATAGCAAATATAGCAAAAATGGACATGTGCGGTTTTAAAAGCAGAGATATTCTGAATTGCTATGGTAACCTGGACAGAGCCTCCCAAGGAATTATCGAATCCATGTTGATGAGAAAGCTCATGCGCCTGAGAGCCTTGCTGATTCCAGCTTTCCAAGAGCAGATCTTTTTCCGTAACCATGGGGATCACGTGGGAAAAATACTTTTAAAGTCAACATGACATTGAAAATTACTTTCTTAAAACACATTGCTAGTCTTATTTTGAACTATTTATGTATATTATAATCCATTATGAAAATACAACAATTTGCTCTTACTCTAAACGACTTTCCTTTTCCGATGACATCACTTAGGCCATGCTGACTATTATCCAAAAACCAACTAGCTTTTCGGGTTCTAACTCCATTCTGGTGTGTATCTCCCAATTTTCACCATCCAATCAATTCCAGATGGATAAAATGAAGTCTTGTCCTGCATTTCTCCATTCCACTCAGGAAATACATCACATTACAGAACTAGCAAATGGCTATTCATATTAACACTTTAAGAAGCAAAATTGAGCATGTGTGTAAATAGAGATGTCTCTGAAGAGATATTTTTGTACAAAGCACATTCTTAAAATAAACCCACTCCTTAGTCCACATACAAATGCAGTTTATTCAGTCCCCCAAACTGGAAAATAAGCCATCCGCTGGCCATTTCATTATATAAGGTCGGGATTATAATGGTCAGACAGGCAGACCAGCTGAAATGCCCGGAACAAAGCTGAGTAATGTTTCTGAATCCTTCTGTATTTGTGCAACATGATCCTGTCTGGCTTGTCTTGCTGCTGTACACAGACGTCTGATGGGGCTTCTCATCACAATCCCAAATTGATATCCACGTCTGGTCTAGAAACAAACTGTTCACAGTGTTACCATGGAACCGGTTACATCGCTGCTCCGGGAAACAATTCAAGCATCCGTGATTTATTTGGAATAGACAATGGTTTAGATGGCAAATGTGATTTTGCATGTTGCATACATTTATTTGTATATACCATGATCCTTATTCATTGCCTGAGGAGTTGAATTATAGTTCTTACACTATTTGAAGGAGATCATGCATTCATTTCAATAGCTATAACCACTTTTATAAGTACAATGAAGTTTCATAATGAAATATGGTATCTGAGTAAACATTTTTAAAGTCGATTTGGACTAAAAAAAACACACAGTCAACAATCAAACAGGGACAGAGCGTCTTTCAGGATTTGTCATGTTCATTTACCTATTTCTGATGACATTGTACCATTTGTTATTTATTTTCAAAGATCACGGTTTAATATTTAATGCTTGTTAGAAGGCTCCCTCTGCAGTTTCCACAAAAACATGTGACTGCCGCCAGAGGTCTGCATTTAGTGAATAATTCAATAGCTATTAAAAGAGTTTTTCATGAGTTAATCCCACTAAAAGATGGAACGACATAAACAATATGTGTCTTGAATATGGAAGACTATTAATGGCATCAGAAATGGCATTGTGATGGCCCTAATGCTGTAAAACAAATTAAAAATGCTGTCCGGTTAATATTTAGGTCGCCAAGATGTCTGTAAAAGAGCAGATCATGCAGAACACATCATATTTGTCTACAAACACCTGAGAAATACCTTAAAAATAGTGAAAACATCTATCAGACAAACACACTGAATATACCGTGGTAAATATTTGCATGGCTATGAGCAGATAGGATTCCCTTATGAAAATTAAACCAAAAAAACATGGTTACTATAGTTAAACCATGGTACCCACAAATTAACCATGGTTTTGCTTCATTAACCATAGTTTAACCATGGTATTTGTAGTAAAACTGTGGTTATACAAATGGTAATCAATACGCCAAAAAATATATGGTTACTACACTTTTACTAGGGCTGGACGATATCGCCAAAATTTATATCACGATATATTTCTTAATTTCAGTCGATACGATATAATTCCAATATCGATATGAACACTATTTTTTAAAAAAGCCTCATAAAAACTGCCAAGAACACCTACAACAGATGTCTGTGCATACAAACTTCTGAAAAATGAATTTTCCAAGTCTATGAAACCTCCTATAAAACTATAATTTATTTGTGCTGTTTTTTTTCTTAAATATTATAATGTTTACCTTATATCAAACTATAGGCTGACATACACCAGTCAAAC